AAGCGGCCGCCGCTGTGGCCGCCAACACATGCACTCAACTGCACGCCAACGACACCATTGAGTCCATTGATATACATAACCGACAGTTGATTATCGACTCTATACTCAATTGCATCCAATATTTTGATCAACAATTCAAATATAATTATAAATTTGGTAATTGTTTTACGCATTTACTCCTCTTCTCTGCCATCCATTTGTTGCCATAATTGTCACCAAAAGTGATGTTTTGTGCGAATATTATAACTAAATATAATTTGTTTTGTTTTTTAGTGGTCTATAAAACGGACGATAAGATAACTAGGATTGAGAAATGGCTGCAACACTACTACTCCAAAGAGCTTTTAAATGACATCGACTTTGAGATCGTCACCAAACAAGTGCTTCCAGACGTCGAACTGAAGCCACCATTAGTTTTGTGTAATCATAACAATAACGATAACATTGATATCAATGTAAACATTGCCGAAAGTAGTGTTCATATGGATAATAATGACACTAATAATGGAGATAATAGTGATCAGCAAATGCTGTCCGAAACAGTTGTACAGCAATCGTCACAACAGCCAGAGTTGTCTCCATTAGATACGAAGGTATTACTCGCAACATTACCGGAGAGTCAACCGCCCGACCAAATCCATAACGATCTACTGCTTGACGTCCCGTCCCTCTCATCCCCTCTGCCGCCCACTGAAGATGCAATCGAAACGAACCCAATCGCCGATCAAAGCAATGAGATTAATGTGCAAATAGACGATGAATTGGTGTCCAAATTAGTGTATAATTTAGAGCTAATACTTTTATTAGTGGTGATTGTGTTGTACAAAGTCCGCAATCTGTTCCCAAAACTGTTGGATTATTTGGAGTTCGCGTGGATCTATCTCTCGCAGTTTGAGACACGTCTTGAGCCGCACGTGAGGATCGAGAATATGATAGAACTGTTGCAAAACGAGTTCACGAGTCAACGCAACGCCAATCGCATGCGAACCGAAGTACTGAGCAATGAAATCATACAATTGAATGCTATGATTGACAATCTGGACAAACAGTACGAAGAGGAGACCAAAGAGTTGATTTACCTGCAAAACGCCACAATCATCGGACACAACAACACCAGCGCCAACTCAAGGCAATTGTCCAAACTTATGAACATTAAGGGCGGGGGCCGAGAGGCCAAGCTATACGCGTGTCCCGAATGCGGCAAAAACTTTAAAAACGGTTATAAACTGAATCGACACCGATATGTACATAAGGATCCATCAGAGAAACCATATATGTGTGACTGTAAGTGTGCGCCACTCGTGTTCAGCCTATTATATGCTCATTCAATGTCATTTCAGGGCCCGGATGTGGCTATCGATCTATTGCTAACAATGACCTCAATCGACACCGAATGATACATACGGGAGAGAAACCATTTCAGTGAGTCTTTGTTTCATCTCTCTTTCTCTCTCTCTCTCTCTCTCTCTCTCTCTCGCTTTGACGGCCGCATCACTGATCATATCATACAATGGGAGCGAATGGATTGAGTGCCG